ATGCATCACTCAACTAAACAAGATGCCCATTCACACCTCTTCTCCCGCCCTCTCCCGTAGGTTAGAGGGCAGGTGAGTGCCAGCAGCGCCTTTCTGCCCCAGGAGTCGGTGAAGCGAGGAGACGGGCCTTAGAGTCTTTCTGCAGATGCTGTTAGTTCAGCTTCAGGAGTTCCCTAGAGATCTGTCTTTCTTTCTGTTTATTTTTTCTTTATTTTTTACATTAATCTCAAGAAGCGTAACTTTTTAAAATTTTTTCTGTATATCATAAACCTTTTTACAAGCTAATCGTTTAAAAAAATCAAGTGACTTTGACATTCTCCCTCCTTTAAAAAACAGAAACAAAAAACACAACTGTATCCAGAGAGACCAGCACTATGACTACTTGTTCCTGACTATTTATGTATCTGCTGTGATATTTCCTAAAAATATTCCTGTCACACTTTTTATTAAATTTTCAATTTTAGATATCCTTTCAATCACCACTATGGAAAATTATGGTTTTGCTCATCTCTTCTTCAGCTCACACACATACCCTCCCAACGGGTACTCTCTCTGGGTAGCTGTTTGGTGATGTTCGTTATGTGGCTGTTCAGAGCTTACATTATCTTGGCTACAGTCACTACTCACTTGTTGGGCATGTACTAAACTGATTATTTTTACCTTTGCTCACTACCTATTCTCCTTAGAGTTGATCATTGTCTTGGGTATTTGTTTTCTTAGCATACCATGTATATTACACGAATACACCCCAAATTGGCAAACCAATTGACATCAAGAGTTCTATCTATACCTTCTTCTTATAGAGGCCTGGTTCAGAGCCATTTACCTGCACTAATCTGTCCAGGTAGCCAGATAGGACACTGTGATCTTTCTTTACTGCTGTCCTGAGGATTCTCTAGACCTGTTTTTTTGTGTTTCCATAGTCCATATTTCATATTTTTCTATTTTTTGGTGTGCTTCTTTTGGTAGACCACAGCCTCTAGTAGATTCTGAACAAGTGATTGATAAGTAAAATTGGTTAAGACTTTGCATACCTAAATATATCGTTATTCTACCATTATTCTTGACTGAGGTTTCAGGTGAATACAGAAATCTAGGCTGATAATTTTTAGAATTTTGAAGTCATTTATAAATTAATTCTTAGCTTCACTTTTGTTGTTTAGAAGCCTGAAACCAATCTGATTCCTGATCCTTTGTACGTAATCTGTTTCTCTTATTTATTTATTTATTTTTCTGATTGTTGTTTTGTTTTGGTGTCTCTTATCCACGTGAGAGGCTTTCCCCAGAAATCTGATGTAGGTTGACCATCCTTAATTCAAAAACCCCAAATCCAAAATACTCCAAAATTTGAAACTTTTTGAGCACTTGACATAGCAACGCAAGTGGAAAATTACATACCTGACCTCAAGTGATGGGTTGCAAAGTGCGATACACAGCAAACAGTTTATTCAGCATTCCCAAAGGAAAAAAGACCCTCCCAGCCCACTTCAGCTGTGATATCTCTTTTCCGTGCACACCCAGATTTCCCCACACATTCTTTCATGAACAAAATTGTTAAAAATAATTGTGTAAAATTACCTTCAGGCTATGTGTATAAGGAGTATATGAAACAAAAATAAATTTTGTGTTTAAACTTAGGTCCCATCCCCAAGGTATCTTATAATACAAATTTTCCAAACTTGGAAAAATTCAAAATCATAAAGACTTCTGGTCCCAAATATTTCAGATAAGGGATACTCAGCCCGTAATACCTGGATATCCACTCGTCTTTAAGAAGGAACTCTTAGAAGATCTGAGTGCTTGAGTGAAATTTTTCTACTACAGACACGATTCTAGGGTGATCCTGTTGGGTTGTTTAACTAGGTGATCCTTTAACTATCAATATTATGGTGCCAATAACTTTATGCCTTTTCTCATGAGCACATCCAGTTCTTTAGAAGAGACACTTTCAGTCACCTGCTTTAAAAGTGAAGACCGGGCTATTAGTTTTCTTAAAGTCAAGAGAGGGAAGGAAGGAGCGGGGGTGGCGGGGATCTTAATATCCAATATTTTAGATTTCCTTACATCCCCTGTTTTCAAGGTGGTGTCTCCACCTCCAACTGTGAATAGAGTACCCAGTTCAGGGACCTTCTGCTCTAACCTTTTTAGCGTGCAGAGTGGTAGTCATCAACTATTCGAAGTCTGGGAGGGAATCTTTGTGTATGACTGTGTCTTTAACAGACTTTCAATCACTCTAATTTTAGTAACCTCCCTTCACCCAGAGTGTACTATTCAGTTTTAAATTGAGGGAATGCTATACTAGCATTATTTCTCAGTTTTCTTCTCTGGCTTAGAATTTAGTTTCCTTGATTCTATTAAATCTTTTCAACTAGTGTTTTGTTTGTCCATTAGAATCCTTCTGAAACCCTATATTGATGAGAGGTAAATCTTTTAATGATTATTATTATGAAAGATTTCAAATGCCTGTTTTTGTGCCCTCTGATTTGTTAATGTACATGTTTATGAGGTCTCTAGTTTGTCAAGTTTTACAAATTCATGTTGGGATATTCTAAGCTATTTATTGTTCTTTGAAATAAATGAATATTGTAAAAATTAAGATCTTTTGCTTTGGAGTTTCACAGATCTGAATTTTAAATTCTGACTCCATTTGACTTGGGAATCCAAACAATGATAAGTACCATTTTCTTCTTTTAAAAATAGCAATAATAGTACATGCCACATAGGGTAATTTTGAGGATTAATTAAGAAATCTACACATCGTTCTCAACATATTACTGGCACATGAGAAACATTCAATATAAAGTAACTATTTTCACCATGACCAAGGGTGGTAGAGAACAGTAGTAAAGAACAGGGGTTTTGATGACAGATTACCAGGGTTTAAAACCTGGTTGTGTAATTTATTAGATGTGTGGCTCTGTATTTCAGTCAGCTTTGTTAAAAGAAAGCAGCACAACCAACAAGCACTGAACCTCAGTGTCATACCACTGTAAGTGTTTCTTGCTCACAGGTCTGAGGATTAGCAGGGAAGCTCTGCTGATATTTCCTGGGCTCTCATGTTGTCTGATTTTGATGAGCCCCAGCAGAAATGACTGGGGAAACTCTGCTCCACTTGTCTCTTATTCTCCATCAGGCAAGACTGGCTGTTTTTCTTAGCGATAGCAGAATTGCAAGAGAGAAAAACCAAACTGTGAAAAAACATTTCAAGCTTATGCTATTTCATAATTAATTAATACTGTATTGTTCAAATCACATCACATGACTGAGCCAGACACAGGAATTTCTGCCTTTTACACAATGTATGAAGATGGGATACTTGAAAGTTATATGAGAAAAAAAATGCGATTACAGGAACAAAAAAAATATTGGGAATACAGGGAGTGGCGAAGAATCAGGGCCATGGTTGCAATCTACTATACACAGGGAAACAACCTTAAAATCTCATCAGTTACTTTCTTTAGGCAAAAGTATATTGAGAAGTGTTTATTTAAGAGTGACAATACTAAATACTGTGTAGACTACGTTTACTCAAATAAAACTTTGTGGTTCTAGATCCTAAGATTAGCTGGGTCATATATATCTGTTTTAAATTTAGACAAGCCATTGAATGTGTATTTTTATCTTTTTTTAATGATCACACTCTATCTGATTCAGATGAACTGACCAATAAATCACTCAACTGAAGCATTTGAAAAGTTTTCTATTGAATTTCACCTCTGCTTTTGTGATCTCTGCATATCTAACTGGTGCCCTAATCTCTTTTCTCCTCTCCTAGTATTTCTGATTCCCTTGCAATTTTTTTAATACACTATTACTAGGGCTTTGTGACTCTTGCTCAAAATTCTTGTGAATTCACATTTCCTTTCATCTTTACTTGACAGATAACTGTGATGTATTAAGGGGCATTGAATCCAAATTAAACACTTCTGTCATCAATAGTCCTACTCTACCCACTTTCCTATTTCCAGGCACGAGGGCAGGAAGGATCCCACAAGCATGGCATTCACAAGCATGGCATTCAAAAGGACAGCAAGTGCACTCTGGGTTATGTTATGGTTTACTTAACATTGGCAAGCATATTGTTCTCAGGTTTTCTTTAATAGATCCTCCACATGTACTGTCAAAATGAAATTAGATAGCCTAATTAAACACTAGATATTAGAATATAGTCCAATGGGAGAACAAACTTTCAAATATGTGGACGATATGGTGTGAAGGGAATATAGAGGAGGAGGAAGTGGTTGATTCCACCTCAGGTGAGCTGGAAACTTTGTGAAGGGGGTGATATCTATGATGAGACTTGAAAGAGAATGTATGTGGTGAGACGTGCAGGGTATACAGTGTTTCAGGGGGAACAAGTTGGTTTGCAAAACTGCAAGTTGGTCAACATGCTTAGAAAGCTGACTGGGACAGGAACCATGAATTATATAGTTATAAAACTATTTACTGTATCCTTAACTTTTCTGCTGTGATGATTTGTCCCCCAAATATGTGCGTGAGTTTAGCTCCCTAGGAAACTTCCTCCACTAGAAAACCCCCATTTTTTTAGAAAATTAGACAAGAAAATCAGACATCTACTTCTCTAGGAAGCTTAATGTTTTGGGGACCCCCATCATTAGGAAATGAACAGTTTTACAAGGGATGTCTGAGTCCAGCAAAAATTTCACCTTAGACTCTTGATATTTATCTCTACATTGCCAAGGAGTATGATTTAGACATTGTCTTACATCTGGTTATGATATGGTATTCAAGTATAATATATCTAATTCAAAGAAATAAGATACAATTAATGGGATAATCTTTTTCAGATTCAAAATTTTAATTAGCTATCTTCACATCTCCTGAGGAAAGGACTAAAGTCATCACATTATGAAATCTATTTTATGAACAGTGAAATTAGAAATTTAGTTTATTGTCCCAAAACAATCTTTCTGAAGGCAGTGAAGTTAAAATTATGAGGTGACTAATTATAATTTTGCACTTTTCCACTTGTGTTTTAGATATGAGTATTATTCTAAACCAGAAGCAGACTTCGAGAGAAGTTGGTATACAACTGTGGAATATTTAGCTGCATTGCTCTTTCCTACAACCTTGTTTATAGTGCATGACTTCCAGAAGGTCCTGCCACCACGAATCCTTGCTGCTACTGATGTGGCCCCCTACATCAGTAACTTTACTGATTTGCAGAATACAGTCCTGTTTGGTATAAATATTCTTTATGATGTGAATAAATATACAGGTAAGGACCATAAAAAAGAACTTTAAGAAATCAATACTGTGCTGAACAGATGGAGGAAGAAATAACAATTAAATGAAGATATGGACATTATAACACATACCTCCAAAAGAAAGTAATGATTTCCTATGGGTATCTTTTTTATTTATTTATCAGTAGTCACTCTTGACATATGGCAAGACCATTTAATGAGCATAAATATTGGTCTCACACTCATGGCCTGTCCTTTCATCTGGAATCCATATTGAACCTTGAAGTCAGCAAACCAACTGAAGCACAATTTTTGGTCCACACATCCACATATATTCCTTAAATTGCTCAGCAGATCCTTTCTTAACTTTCTAATTTGCTCTTAAAATTAAGGCAAATAAAGGAATTAAAAAAGAAAACCTACTGTTATTAATGAAATTACTAGGAATTTGAATTATCTGAGTTTCCTTGATACAATACTACTAGTTATGGAAGAAGTCTTCTGCTCCAGCCCTTAAAATCCTGGGTTTCCTAGCAGAGCAAAAAACAAAAGGATTCAATAATTACAAGTTTGCAAATTACCATGTCGTCTCCATTTTCCAAAACATAATTATACTATTAGTGTTTTTCAAAGCAAAAAATTTGAATCTGGAAGATATAAACAAAGCAAACTAACAAATAAATACATGTTTTTAAAAACCTTTAAATAAATTAAATATATGATTTGAAAAACCTTTGTTTTAAAATATATGTTGAGTTAGATTAATAAAAACATCCAAACATTTTAGGAACTTTCTGCAAATGAAGTTTCTTCTTCCTCCAGTAATGGCCCTAACAGTCAGTAGACAGCTTTCCTTCACACAATTAGGAGCAAACCAAGCTTCCGTCTATCTGCAGAAATTTTTCTTGGAGTTTTTCCCCAGAAAATGAGTTGATCTAACTCATTTTGTTTAATACGTATATAGCATTTCATTTAATGAATGTACCATAATTATGGATGTTAGTTACAGTTATAAGCTATTGCCAATAACATAATGGCATTCCGTGTACACTTTTTTTTGCAATAATTTATGATTTTACCTCTAAATTCATAGAAAGGTATTGAAATAAAATTGGTAGGTCAGATATTGCCAAATCGTATTGCCGATAATGCAACAAAGATATGCCATGTTTACTTTTCTTGGTATAATTTATGATTTTACTACTAAATTAGTAGAAAGAGAACAAAATAAAATTGATTGAGTTGTATATTGCCAAATGATACTATAAAAGGTTCTCAGTGGTTTACAAGTAATAATTTTGTATCTTTTATAGATTCAGCATTTTTGACTGCATGGAAAATTTTAATGAAGACAGCAGATACAAGAGCGCTAACTCTAGAGGTTTTTGAAATAATTCTTAATATGTTTAATTAAAAACTTCTGGAAATGATTAGTAAGCTAAAAATGAACAACTCTAACTTGCTGGCAAATAGTAATTTCCAAAACAAATATACTCATATCTATGTAGTTTTATTGTTTCTGTTGATTTTGACTTATGCTAGTTTGTTAGGATTGTATCCATGCATTCTTAAGGTTAAATTCAAATTAACACTATAATTATTTTGCCCAATTAATAATTGTTGATATCTGAAATCATTAATAATTAAAATTAATAAAATAATTAAAATAATAATAAAATAATTAAAGATTTATGATTGTATTAAGCTACCAAAAATCACTGAGAAATTAATAAACAGATATTAAACTTGTATGTTTTTTGTTATAATATATATAACCTAATTTCATAAAATTTAGAGCAATATAACTTGCTGATTTATAACCCAAATCCAAATGTTTATATTTGAAATAAAATACTGACAGTCAATTTTAAAACTTATGAAACTAAACTGGCAAATAGAATACACTAACTGATTTGTCACTTTTTTCTGTGTGTTTTTGCTGACCACAAGTTTACAGCAATTACATGATAGAGTTTCCCTCCTTTGACCCACACTTGATAATGAATGCTACAGAGTCACATCTGTAGGGTTGCTCTCTTTTAGGAGAGACAACACACTGGCAAGGAGATGGTGACTTCCAGAGGTGACAAAAGCTTTTTTATGAAGGTTTTCCCAAAGCCTCATCCACAGCCTAAATCTACCCACCGACTATTGGGGAATAAAATTGGATAAATAAGTTTGAATACCACAGGTATTGGAGTAGAAAAGATGTAGTTTAAGTCTCAGCTCTGTCGTTTGCTAGCTGAGTGAGCTTGAGCAATTTTTCTAGCTTACTCTGTGCTTCAGTTCACTTATTGTTAAAATGAATATTATAAGATCTCCTTTGCAAGATTATTTTGAGGAGTTAATAAAAACATAAACTTAATATGGCTAGTACTCTTCCCGATACATATTAGGCATCCACGAAAAGTAGCAATCGCCACAATAATTGTGTTTAGAGATGGATGCATGCTCCATGGGTGGGGCAGTAAAAGCATCTGTGATGAGCCAAAACCCTGAGTAAATTTTTGTTGAATCCCAAACACACAAATTTCCTGGTAGCTGTAGACAATGGAAACAGTGTATTAAACACCCTCCCAAATCTCCCCAAAGCATGCAAAATAACTACACATTCTATAAAATATCTACACGAAATTAAACCTGCAATATTAGTTGAAGACAGTCAATGATTAAACATCAAAATAACTTGGATTGAAAAGAAAAAATTGACAAATATAGTCCTCTGTCATCCCAGCAAACAAAGGCAGAGAAAAACAGGAGGGAGACACTAGCAAAGGACATTGAGTGTGGGATGGAGTGACCACCAAAAAGATTAAATCCAAACTTATTCTGAAAATACTAAAAAGCAATGAGCAGATCAGAGCACCTCAGGGCACAACTGAAGGGGACAGATTTCAAAGCAGGAGCATCTTAATGGGCCATGCCTGCAATTTAAGTGGAGGTAATTTATTTAAAAAGGCAAGCCTGATTTCAAGGGACAGGCAATTTCAAGTCACAGTCTTCCAAAAGCATAATTTCTGGGGCAAGAAAAAAAGGCAAAATGAAGGAATCTAAATGTAAAAGACAAACAAACAAAAAATGCAACATAAAAATACTAAAAGAAAGTAAGGCTGTGCTTTTCAACTATAAGTCAAAACCTATAGGCAAGAAAAAATAATTGATTTGACAGCATATTAATAAAATTTTTGCATGACAAAAAAGCATAAACAAAGAAAGACTATAATTTATTTGGGAGAAAATACTCATAACATAAACTATGGACAAAGTACAAATATTTCTAATACAGAAAGAACTTTCAAAACTTGAGGGACAAATGACTAAAAACCTGATAGAAAAAAATGGGAAAAAAGACATGAACAGGTGATTTACCAACAAAGTGTAACAATGACATAAAAGAGATACAAAAAAGTCATAAAAATGGTATTCATGAAAAAATGTTTAAACTCATCTATAATTATATAAATGCAATTAAAACATTGAGTTGCTATTTCTAACCTATCAGACTGACAAAAATCAGAATATGTGCTAACCACTCCATTAGTGAGGCTGTGGAAAAACAGGTATTATGATATATTGCTGGTGGGAATGCAAATTGGAATGACACTTCAGTGGGAAAAGTCAGCAAGATCTAGTAAAATCACACATGCACTTACTATTTGACCCTCAATCATGCTTCCAGGCATCTATCATGAAGATAAATACCTTCACAATAACAAAATAGAAATATACAAGTTTATGTTTTGTATCATTATTTATAATGACAAAATATTGGAAAAGACATATGTACCCCAAATAGAAGAGTGGTTGCGTTAAAAAAACAAAAGGAATGCTATGCAACTGTAAAAGAAAGTGATGAAGTTTGCTATAAGCTGCTATAGAATGATTTCCAGAACACATTGTTAAGGGGAAAAAAGCACTTTCGTAAGAAAAAAGAGAAAATCGCCTTAACTAGATGATCAAAATTGACATCTTCAGGGCCGGCCCGGTGGCGCACTGCGCTAGTGCACCGCTTGGGAAGCGCGGCGGCGCTCCCGCAGAGGGTTCGGATCCCACATACAGACCGGTTCCCGCTCACTGGCTGAGTGAGGCGTGGGGGCAACACCGAGGGTTGTGATCCCGTTGCCGGTCCCGGTCCGGTACGGGGGTGACACTGAGGGTTGCGATCCGTTGCCGGACACGGAAAAAGACAAAAAAAAAAAAAAATTGACATCTTCAGTAAAAATACATTGACATTAAGTACCTCTTAATGGTGCACTAAGAAAGACACAAATTGTTCCTATGGTATTCTTGTCAAAAATGAATAATTTAAGTCAGCAAGTTATTCTTTCTATACCTGGGGACTACATGCCAGCTCATCTCTGTTTCTCTTTGAGCATTTCCATCATTCTCTGGCTATCTCCAGTCTCTCTTTCAGTATTGCAATTACACCTGACTCAGTGATGATGAGGCCAGGAATGTATATTACTTTAAAAGATCATAGGTCTACAAGAATATAGCCCACATGACTAACCTACTCATGTCAAAATCTAAATTTAGAGGAGACAGATTTTGTGTATCTGAAAGAAAGCTACGAAATTGTTTTTCTATATCAACTGGCATCCGTAATCCATCAGCTACGAAACTTTGTTTAGAGGCCACTGTCATGCAGATAGAGGGTGAGCAGATGTCAGAGTGTATAGACTGAAAGAGATGCAGTTTCTCCTTTCACTAGGAGAAACTTTCTGAGGAAAACAGTACAGTACAAACCTCATCCAATCAAGAAACTACAAGTAAAATGGCAGAATGACTGATGGTGGTCATTAAATATATTGAATTATATATGTAAGAAAAAAGTATGAGAACATGTGAAGAATAATTTTAAATGCCATATACTCTGATAAATTATCTTTAGTGCAACTAATGAAAATAAGAGGAGAAACAAATCCGAAGGGGGAAATTGAACAACCTTCATTGATTATCACATAATTGGGAGTTAAATGGTAATATTTAAAACTGTCAAGCCAAATATTATAAGGTTAAGTATAAAAAGAGGTCACCAAAGGCATTAAAAAGGTCTTTTATAAATGTAACCATTAGAACATAAGGGAACTATTTTAAATACCAAAAGGTGGACATAAACAGATGGGGTGGGGGAGAGGAGAGAGAGACTGAGAGAGAGAGAGAAGAAGGGGGAGAGAGAGATCATAAGAGAAAAAATATAACAAAGTTAATGACAAACATATAGGCATATCAATGAATTTTAAGAAACTAACTCACCATAAAATGAGCAAAGCTTTTAAAATTGACTCACAGAGTAAAATCTGGCTCTATGATATATACAAGAGAAATACCTAAACTCCACCAGTGTGTCTCAAAGACATCTCTCCCATGGATTGGCTGAATCCTTTCTTTTTCTTTAGCTCTTCTTTTGAACAAATAACCATCAGAATCATGTCTTTTTCTTTTCTTTTCTAAAAGAACAACAGTATAATGTTTATCTAAATAGAGTTATACTACTTAATATATTTATAGAGGTAAATGTGATTTCATTTATTCGGTGAACATTTATATATAGCATTTATTAATATGCTAAACACTGTTATATAAGGATAAATTAGTTTATTTATTGCTCATAGATGAGCTACACATATTTGCAAACAAATTTATGAAGGTCAATGACATCAGTGCTAATACCTCAAAGTATAAAAAGCTATGTGCACTGGAGTGGAACTAAGACAAATGAAAATTTATTTTAAAATAGACATTTTATCTGAAATAAAAGGATAAATAGGTATTCAACAGAGAAACAAAGGGCAGGAAATAGTACTTTCGAAGGGCAAATGATCTGAGCAACAGTATGGAGATACGAAAGATCACAACGTGGCCCAAGAAGTATTTTGGTATGTTAGAGTATATATGTAGAAATTGTGATAAATAAGACAGTTAAGGTAGATGGTTGACCAGATCATGAAAGCTGACATATAGCCTAATGAGGAAAAGGAATAAGGATTAAGAGTTGTCATGATGGTTTTGATATGAGCCAATACATTCTGTTTAGCCAATATATTGCAAATTTCATATCCATCAGGGGATGGCAATCCTCAGTTTGGCTCAGAGTCAAATCCAGCCAAACACCTATTTTCATAAATAAAATTTTTCTGGAACATACCATGCCCATTCTCTTATGTACAGTAATGTCTGTTGCTTTTTTGCCCTACAAAGGCATAGCTGAGCAGTTGTAACAAAGACCTAATGGCCCACAAGGCTTAAAATACTGTTTGTCTCATTATAGAAAATGCTGACTGTGCCTAGCTTGAATAAATAAGTTTTTAAAAAGCAAGAAAGTTTTTTTCTGGGGAAAAAAAAAAAAAAGGAGGATGGGGCTCATTCAATCAGCTATTAACGTTTCCTGTATCAGCCATAACCTTCAGAGAT